GGTACCGCCCGTTCCTAGGGCAGAGCTCTGCCGGGCCGGGGGCTCGCAGGGGCCGGGGGCTCGCAGGGGCCGGGGGCTCGCAGGCTCTTCCCGTGGACACGAACTGCAGGAAGGTGATAACCCGAGTTTCTCTGATGTGCTCTGTATGACCTGTACTGCTTGTCAGGCTGAATGGGGACCCCTTCGCTCTGCAAAACCCAGCCTGGATAAAGACCTTGTTTTGCCTCTAAGACAGTTTAAAACTCCGTGCTTCTAACTTTTTTTTTGAGTTCCCCTCTATGCAACTTCCCAGCCACCCTACCTCACAGCAGTGCCGGGGTTTCTGTTCGCTGGGATCCATCGGATGAAGGGTGTACCCATGGCTCCCAGGACAGGTCTCTTGCTCTTGAACAGCCACATTCTGGTTTGCTCAGCCACTTGCTGCTTTGTGCTTCCTTCTTCCCAACAGTAAAAGGAGAAGGAAATTTGTTCTCATGCAAGATTTGCTTCAGCGTTGCATTGCAAGCACTCATTGCGAGCAGTGGCATATTTTAACACTGGAGAGCTTTCTCTAGGAGAATTGTGCCTTGATTTCTGCACAAGTATCTTTTTTTATATCAGCTTTTCTTTCATTTTTTGGGATCCCACACTCTCACCCGTGGCTGTTAAAGCATGGAAGGTCAGTAATAACTCCCTTCTGGTCGCTGGCGTAAGCAGCAGCGTGCTTTGACGCTCAGCGTTAGTTTTTATGCAGAGCTTCTATGCAACAGAACTTTTTAAAATAAACTATTTCCTCTTGTGCACAGCTTACGCTTACAGAGGAACTCCTTAGAACTTCCTCCTAGGCAACCACTACTACTCACAGTGTGTAACAGGATGCTAGGAACGGCAGAACTGCTGTATCTAATTAGGCAAATGGTTATTTTAATGCAATATCCAGCTCCTGACCAGAGCATTTCCAGATGCTTCAGTGAGAGAAGGAGGAAGCAAGAGTGGAATAGTAGTAGTACAGCTTTCTGCAAGGGAAAGTTTTCTTCTCTGTCCTCGTACTCTCATCCATCTCTTGATGCTCTGCTGGTATGACTGGGTATGACACAGGATTAAGAGAATAGAGACATCGTTTGTTGTTTTTTTTTTTTTCTTGATGAAGTACAACAATATTTCAAACTGAAAAATGTAGTAATGGTAAATACCCATTTAATTTCACTGACTTTGAAATATTTTCAGCGTAGTTTTCTTTTTTGCTTATTGAAACATTGTATTTATGCCTACTGCTCCATTTTAGATTCTAGAGAGATCCTAAAGAGACTTTAGGACATCTTGTTTTTGTTGATCATGAGCACTGAGCTGGCCCTTATAATTGTATGCTATAGATAGTTGATATTAATCAGGCAAAACTGTTTCCCATGTGTGATGAGCCTGATACCATCATCCACCCTCTTCCTCCTACATAGATGGTTAAAAGATATGGGGTGTATATATATAGAAATCAAAATGACTGGGCTAGAACTGCCACTATCTTTAGGGTGGAATGGGTTGTCCATCCATACATGGTCATTACTCAGATGAGTTAAAAGCATCCTGCAATTATAAGATTGGAAGTTAGCCAAAACACCCCTACTCCTTACAGCACTCCCAGGGGAATATTTTTTAATTGCATCATACATGGGAAAAATAAGTACCAGTCAACTCTTGGTACAGCTGGCAATTGTTACTCCCTTTCATAGCAATAAAAGCTAGATAAATAAATCTATTGTACAGCAGTGAAATAATATAATTTTGGAGGAGACTTTGCAGAGGAGAATAACTATTTCTCTACACGTCTCTGGAGTAATGCAATCTGCAGTAACAAACCTGATTCACTGCTTTGTTACTCTAGCTCAATGCTGAAGTGATTTTGCTGAAATCAATGGGGCAATCGCTCTAGTTTTATGTGGGTGTAAATACAGGTCCCATATCTCAGGCCAGTATTTTTGGTTCTTGGATGAAGTTATGAACTAGAGAAACAGTCTGACTTCACTGGTAACTTCTACTTAATTTCTTGTCACAGGCCTAAAGATGCAGTTAAAGCACTAAAGAAAAAGCTTTCCAAAAACTGTAACCATAAGGAGATCAGGCTTACCCTGTCTGTAAGTACAGCTATGTTTATATTAATTAGACACTAAGAAGGAAAACATTTTAAACGATAAGGTGGCATGCAAATTATCACTGACACAACTCCATGATGTTTTCTGTCTTTGTTTGTGTGTACAGCACTACCCCAGTGCAGATTGGATGGTCTACTGGTGTTCAGTAGAGCCCTGGATGATGCTAATTCTTAAGTTCGTTGTTGTGGTTTTTGTTTTGGGGTTTTTTTTTTAATGTGTACCGTGTAAAAGTAGTATAGTTCTTATTTACTCCAGTGACTCTGTGAGTTCCCCACCTGTTTGTGAAAGATACGCAGGTTGGGATGTTACACAGAAGCTATGTTTGACCATTCTATTACTCACCTTGTGGTACTGATCTTAGTTAAACTAAGCGTGGTATGCAGCATCATGGAATGTGCAATACCTGTTTTGTAAAGGTAAGTGTTACCGCGTATAAATGAGAAACTTGAATGAAAGGGTAACCATGGTGAGTTAAGCAAGGGAACAAGGCGCAGGGCAAGCTGCATAAGATTCAGATGTTATGAGTAAAGGTTGAAGAGGCTCAGAATACTCTGATTTGAGATAACGTGGCCTCCAGAATCTGACGGTGCCTGAACTACCCCAGAGTCTGGGGAAGCGTTGGGATTTCAGTCAATTTAAGGTTCACTGGAGCATGTTAATACAGTTCTGCAGGCTGTAGCAGGAAGTTGCTAACACTGTCGTAAGTCCAGAGTTCCTGAACTGAATTACTCTTGGCTAACAATAGTGCAGCTGTGAGAAGAATCATACTATTCTTATTCTAAGTTGTTGGGGATTTGTGTCATTCATTATTTGTCTAGAAGTGTTTTCTTACTGTTTCCTTATTTGAGGTTGTAGAGGCCTGTCTGGATTACACTAAGTAGTATTACTCATGGGTTTGGTATTTGTTATGCAAAATCATTATCTATATCGATATGTGCTGAGAAGTGATTAAGGAGGGTAGGTGATTGATAGAGTCAAATTGTAGGTCACTTAGCAATTGCCCAGGTGTCTCCTGACAAGTTAGAGCTGCAGATAAATGTATTAAACATACCGATGTATACCTTCAGCTCGTTCCATTTCCTCACTTCTTTCCTGTCTTCCTCCTCCACCGTCTCGTGAGTCACCTTGCTGTGTGTTCTGTGCCTTTGCATAACAGAAGCACTTGGTTTCTGCTGTAAATGCAATCCCTGTATCAGATCTGCTTTCTTTCTCCTGCAGTCTTTGTGCACTTTGGTCTTTCCTGAATACCTGACATGCTCACCTGGAGTTATGATAACACAGTGCTTAGATTTAGGAGCCTTTCTCTGGTTATTTACTCTGTAGATATACCCAAGGTGACATAGTTTAGCTCTTAAGAACATGAAAGTGGAAGAAGGATCTTGTTTCAGGTGTATCCAAGGAAGAAGTTAATTGTATTTGCTTGCGGGTGGATTGTGTACCAGGTTTCGGTTGGGCTTGTTGTTCAACACTTTTTCACAGTCCAGGCCCTTTTCTCCACGTCTGTCTGTCCTCACCCGCTCACGTCTACGCAGGTAACTGGGCCTGCCGGACAATCACATCCTTTTGGCCCAGCTTCTGTTTTCTGACTGTGGGTTTCTTCTCCCTGAGTTCCTTAATCTTTTGGGGTTTGGTTTTTGTTTTTTTAATAAGAGCCAGCTTCCTCTCTAACTTTCTTTCTGCTTTTGTTCTTATGTAAGATCTTCCATCCTTTGCCTCTCCCTCTGGCTCCTTTCCTTTTTCTGGTTTTCTGCCAGTATTGCCATCAGTTTAGCATATGTAAAACCTCTCCTTTGGCCTCATTGTTGACCATATATGACTTTTAACTCCTTTGTTCCCAAATCAGTCTTTGTGTGCAGTATCTTCTGGTTTTATGTTCTTGATTGCTTGATGAACTTGTTCCCATTTCTCATTCTGAAATGCTTAGATTGGAACAACAAATCATTGCAAATGGAAAAACAGAAATAATTTCAAACTCCTAAAACAACTCTTAACTCTTCAAAATTTTTTTTTTACAAAAATAAGGGCTCTCTTCTGATGAACTGTAAGTTACCACCTGTATTTCGTACAGTAAATGTGGTCCTCCAGCTTTTGAGACTCTACATCAAATTATCTCTCCTACCTACATTAGATACAACTAAGAGGGCACCAGATCTACAAATCACTTTTCTTTTTAAACGTACTTTGATCTGCTTTTATTTACTCAACCTTGAAATTGTGGTGTTTAATCTTTCTAATGAAACTGCTTAAGGATCTTATTCCCAGGGAATACATGCAGAGTGAAATGTGAAAATCTTCATCTTGGGTAGTACGACTGCACGTGTTAGCCCTGATTCCGTCATTGAGAGTGTTAAATCTCAACAGCGTCTTCTTCCTGGCTCGTAGATGCTTATTTGTTTACTTGGAGGAAGAAGGGTGAGTGCCAGCAGTAAAATGTGTTGCTATGGCTTGGCTTCATGGACTCTGATCTACTGAAGTTACCTGGTGCTGGTGAAGTCACGTGGATTGAGGTGTATGTGTGTCAGGCCATGAAGTTGCTTCACGCACAGTCTTTGATAAAGCCAAGAGATCAGGCTTGGCAGCGGTGATTTTGCAATCGGAGTGAAGAGGATTAGAATTTTAGGCAGGAATCCAACAAAGTGTGCGTGTATTGTTTGACTTCTTATTACTGATAGGCTTTGGATATGTGCACTCTGTTTATGTAGTGAACGTTGAGGCGCCTGGTCAGTTGTCTCTGTAGATCACCCTTGGTTTGGAAAAGCAGTTACTGTGGTGCCCCAGTTCTGATGCCTTTAAGGTCTTAGGAACTGAACAGCACGCGGGGAGGTAGTTTTATTGCATGTGTCCCTCTCTGTACCAGTGCCTACACACACTCTTATGTAGAAAGCAGTGGGCAGAAATTTAAGGTGGAATTACTGTTTCACTTCTGCATTACATTGTTGGAAAAGACTTTCAAGGAAGTCAGTGGTTAGATTTAAATTGTAGAGTTTGTTTTTTTGCCCTAGGCTTTTTTCTTGTTTTCCTTTTAATAATCTGTAAGTTTTCAGATGTAAAAAAGAATTTTAGCATGGCAAATGTGGCCTTCAGATTTTACTTTGTTAAATTAATATTTCACAGAGCAGAGGATCTAAACAAAAATGTGAGAGACCCCTCCAGCTCCTCAATCAAAAATGTCCTCATCAGTTTTATTATACTTCATGGTATATACGGTCAAAGAGGAAAAGGACATTGAGTGGGAGCAAAATAAATCCATATTTCAGTATTTTTCTATAGATATAATGTAAAAATTCAAGACTTGAAAAATTAATATTTTTGAAATACAGAATCTTGGTAAAGTCTGCATAGGCACTACACTGTAACTGGTGAATGGAGCTGAAAAAGCTGCTTGTACAGGTTTCTTTTAAATGCTGGCTCTTGGAAATAGTGTCTTGCCATCCAAAAACTCAACTGGGTAGCCATCTGTATATGTTTAGCAGAGTGTAATCCTAGAGGTGGCTGCAAACTCTTCATCTGTGTTTTCTTTCGTTCACCCTAGATTTGGGAAGTAGCTGTCACAACTTAACCCATTCATTCCAGCTTTATGGACAGTGCCTGGCTGCTTTAGATAAGGAGATCGTCCTACTGCATTCTGAGCGAGGTCTCCATTGATAAGGAAAGCGGTTGACTTTCTGTTATACCCACCAACTTCTGCCCTTTTTGTTTTTGCCTTATAGTTCACCTCAGTTCAGATGCCTTTTATCATTTTAATTTTGCTGTCATGTGAACCAGAGGGCTTTGATTGTGCAATTCACCCCCCTCTTTCCTCAGTGCAGATCTCAGCTGGATGTCTGCTATCAGCTAGCTTGGAACATAGCAGCTCTGTCGATTCCAACAGTTCTCTGTCATTTAGAGGAAGTTTAATGGTTTGGTTGAAGTTAATTTGCCAGTTCTGTTATTAAAACATGTTTCCATTGAGATTCCATTGTGCTGTGTGGAGCAGTGGTTGACTTGGCCGCCTTGGATCTGTTCATTCCAATGGAACTTCTTGGGAAGGTGAAGTCCTATTTGCAATGATAAATAACCATATTGAAATTCTAATGAAAGGTGTTATTAGCATGAAAGTGGTTTGTTCATGAATAGTCCAGTTAAAAATAATTGAGTCAAATTCTCCTTTTTCTTACACCAGCTCAGTTTCGCTCTAAGTGAGTGGGCTGGCCTGGCGTAATTGCGTGGAGGATCTAGCCCATTAGTTCAGTACTTTCATTCAGAGGGTAAATACTCAGTCCCTTAAGTAGGGAATTAATAATAGGGAATATAATACCAAATTTCCCATGCACTGAGTTGAGAATGTTTTACACAGACCATCTTTGAAGTACTGCACAGGCAAATGACTTAGCTTATTAGCATATGTTTCATGTACTCTTTCAAATGAAAAATAATGATTCGAGCCAAGATTTTTTTGGTAATTATCTCTCAGTTAGTTTTTTTGCACAGCAGTCTGCCAGTGTCTCTTTGTTCTACCCTGTTTTCATTTCAGCAATATATTTTCTTCTGGTCTTAAACCTGTTCTCCCGTAAGTTCCTGATCACACTGGGAGAAAAATCCCCAAGTCCTGAGGCTAGAAAATGAGTTACTAAAATGATTTCAGCTTAGTCAAATATAGTCTGCTCTGAATAGGAAAGTATATTTAACCTACTTTTATCAAGATTACAAGTGTCTCTTAAAATCTGTATCCTTTTGAGAATGTATCCTGCTGTTTCATGATTCAGTGGAAGTTTTGTCTTGAAACCCATGAAATTTTGCAAACTTTTGTTAGTTTCTACTCTTTGCTTTCACCTTTCCATCTTCCTTCTTAAATTGGATGGGGAAGTAAAGATAACAGTTGAAGAGCAAAAAGCACAAGGGTGACTGTTTCCCTCTACATGGGTCATCATAGTCCTGTGGTTGATCTCCAGATTTGAGCCAGGCAGGATGAGTTCTGTTCCTGATTCTGCACCTGATCTGACTGACCCCAGTTTCCTATCAAGACTTGTCCTGGCCTGATTGCAGGTGACTGGGATGCAGGGACAGCCTTTGATGTTTGTCCTGTAAAATAGGAATTGTAATCAGCCACCTCAAGGTGTACAAGGGAGGGGTGTTATGTCACTGTCACATACTGCTGTATTTGATAGGACAGACGCGTTACTTGCGGGGATTCCACTCTGAGCATTCCAAGCAGAGTTTTGGAAGTAGACTTCTTTCATGAAGATGAATCTGACAATTGGAACAATTCCACTCTTCTGTTTCACATCTTTGTGACCTTTAAACCCTGTGGAGAAATTGTACTCTGTGTTGTTGAATTTGTTCTTTTCTATTTTTTCATTAGCCTCTCACTTACAGGGCAGGTTAGAAGAGAGGCATTTAGTAATCTTATTTTCTTCTCTTGTAGAGCTTTTCAGAATCTGTCAGACCAGGGGACCTGTGTGCTAGGCAGTGAATTAATTCTATTACTGAATCTGTATAAGTCTTTTTTCTTTTTTAAGCTATAGACAGATTTCATGCTGTTAAAGTACCGTATGTTCAGTAACTACTATGACATGGAAACAAGCGTGACCATACTTCTTTATTAAAAGCAGTACAACTCTCGCTAACACATCTCATTTTGTATTGCACGGGTTTACTGGTGCACACAGCAAGCTACTGTTTCCCTGTAGTAACCTCATCAGACATTGTAGTGAGATAGCTGGCAATAATCTGTTCATATCTGTTTGTACTCATCCCCATAACACCTTGGAGCAAATTAAACCAAAGCAGACAGGTTGGGTTTTTTTTCTTAGTATCTCTGTAACAGGAGCTTTTTGTGTGTGCAGCTGCTTGACATGTGTATAGAGAACTGTGGCCCAAGGTTCCAGTCTTTAGTTGTGAAGAAAGATTTCTGTAAAGACAAGCTGGTGAAACTACTGAATCCAAGATACAATCTGCCAATTGACATGCAGGAGAAAATCTTGACCTTTATCATGGTAAGTCTAGAGTAAACAGTAAGTGTTTGTGTGTCTGCTATATGGTAAATATTTAATGATGGAACCCATTTCTCTACTGTAACATACTCATGAGAACATACAGCAGACTTTATTCTTGGTGCTTCTGCTTCAAGGACGAGTAGCACAGACTGGAAAACAAAGGGAGAGAGCTGGAATCAACCTCCACCTTTTATATTCCCTTCCCAGTTGATGTATGTGCTCCCTCTGGGGTTGCTCTTAGCAAGCAGATGAGAGATCAGTTTGGAGCTTTTGTGGTTCCTGCTGCTTTGAATGGAGTTACCTGGGGTGGATGCAGGGAATGACCTGCCTTTAGGACCACATGTTTTCAAAGCACTTGCCTGTCCCCACTGACTGTCCATTTCTGTGACTGTTATTGTTCCTGTTATTTCAAAACTAGACTTGGGCCCGAGGTTTCCAAGGAACGGTGGATGTGAGTGAAGTAAAAGAAGTTTATCTAGAACTGCTGAAGAAAGGTGTGGAGTTTCCATCTTCTGACACCAACAGAGAGGGAACTAAGGTGGGGATACACGAGGATACTTCATTAACGATTGTCAATCAGAAACAGGATGTGTTAATTGTATGAGCTCTGTAGACAAAGAAGGTGTTTGGTTTGCATTCTTTTTATTTAAATGCTCCAGGGCAGAATATGACCAACCTACTTAAGCATGTGAGCTGGAAACAGTTTCAATTATAACAGCTAAGATAACAACAAAGAAACCTGGCCTATATAATAGTTTATTTTATTTCAAATCAAAGATTAGTGAATATGTTCTTGAAAGGGAAGCATTTCTCCCTTAAGACTTTCAAAGTGTGTAAAGTATTTGGACACGCAGTTCACCTCAAAATGAATGAGAGCTGAGTGCCCCAAACTTGTCAACTTCTGAAAGTCTCAGCTAAAATGAGTAAGATTTTCACAAACACACGTACTGTTCAGAATATGAGCATTATCTATCTTTAAAATTAAACCAAGAGGTAGAAATCTATAAGAAAATACTATTGCCTGTATATCTCTCCAGCTGTTTGCACAGCCTCTACACAATAAATGTTGTTTAAGCATATGTCATGGGTAGCATTGTGTAGCATCTAAGACATTACATAAGTGTGACCTGAGCATTGGACATAAGCTGAAAATACAGTACATGTTTTAAAGCCATTCTTCACAGATTTTTTTTTTTTTAATTACAATAGTTTTCACAAGAGTTTTGGGAAGTGTCAAAGCTATCCACCACTGGGTGGAACCTTGCAATTACAGAATTAGACGTCTATAATCAGCACAGACAGAAATGATTCAAATTTATCCTGAGTTTGATGATTGAATAGTGGAGTGCACAAAAGCTTATTAAAAGGTTGATTGAACAAGATGTGTGGAGAATGCCCTCAGTAGACAATAATTTTTTTTCTCACCATGTACAGTAGAGATAATTCTGTCTTACCACATGTATCTGCCAGTTAAAGTCAGTGGCAAACCTTCTGTTGAGCTCTGTAACAGCAGACCTGAACTCAGTTTTTACCACAGTCTCTAGGAAGTGAAGGACTTGAAGTGTGCAGTCCTGTGCAGGTTGGGTTTTGGATTTGGAATTTTTTTATAACAGTTCAAATGCAACTCAAGTGAAACTTTCTGAAGACAAAGTGTTCCAGCATTTTGATCCAGAAGGCCTTTGAAGTTCATCTTCTGCAGAGACCCAGATTTAACCCCACAGCCTTTCCACTGCTTCCAGGTGTGATCACATTCTAAACTGTCCTTCACTGTAAAATTGCAGTGGCACTTTGGGAAGGACTCTGGGCTGTTAGGTGGCTTAAGAGCTCAAGTTGCTAGCCTGTTCTTAGTCATTCCTGACTTATCCTGGGGTGGAATTTACTTGCAAACCCATTTTAAAGATACCTGAATTCTGAGCCTCATTTTGTTACAAAATAGGGACCGGATTTGTTCTTGTAGACCTTGCTCAGCAAACTCCATGGGAGCTTTGATCATGAGAAACCTCATGTCCAGTTGTCTAGCCTGACAAAGATGTTTTTTTAGCCCTCTCATCTGGATGTCTGCTCCAATTCCTTTGTTAAAGCCAAACTCTACGCTTCTGTCTTTCTGCAGACTTCATCTCAGCCTTCTACAAAGTCATCACCATCTTCTGCTAATCCTGCGAAACGTTCTTTACTGCCTCTTCCCACAGGCCCAACATTATTGTTGACTCCTGAGCAGGTGCGGTACTAGAGGTTTAGAGGAGGGCAGGTCCACCTGAAATATCCTGTTAATGTGTGATTTCAGCAACCTGGGTGCAGAGACCACTGGAAGGGACCGTCAGTTCAAGTGGCATAGCTCTGTATTCATGGTTTTAGGTTTGTTCTTCCAAAGATGTTTTATATGGTGGTGTGCCAAAGCAAAGTAGGCAGAAGAGAGTTCAATAAATGCCAAGCTCTACCCCAGTCAGAAAGTGGAGTAATTTACTCAAGCATGCAAATTGATAAAAGTTACTTTAAAGATAAATGAGAAGGCAAAACTTATTTTTTCATAAGGATTGTGTGAAGAAATTATTCTAAAAAGCAGGAAGGAAAGGACAGTTCACTTCCATTTCTGCTCAGCCTGTAGGTAACTGAGAAGAGTAGAAGTAAGATTAGTGAGAGGGATTAACTAAGGAAAACAAGTAGTACTATCAGACTTGGATCTCAGTTTGATTGCACATATAACAGCTGAGCTAATTTCATCATTTTCATGGCATGCCACCAGAGTAAAGTAATGCTAATTAGGCCCATATTATAACTAATGGGGAAGAAAGTATGTATTAGAGGTAAGAATTATTCTGCTCACTCTCTTCACCTACACAATACTCTTTCCCATTGAACCCAACAGATCGGTAAACTGTACAGTGAACTGGATATGGCAAAAATGAATGTGAGAGTCATGTCATCAATATTAAAAGAAAATGTTCCTGGCTCTGAAAACCCAGACGATATGAATCTTTTACAGGTATGTGATAATTCATTGGTAGGGTATATTGGTTTCACTTGGTTGAGGTTGATTTAAAATATAACATATCCTTTCTTCTAAGATCTGGATTCAGATTGCCACATGGAATCCCACAGCACATTTCTATCTCTGTTTTTCTCAGCTTCTGTCTTGTCTCTTTCACCTTTCCCTGACATCTAGGTAGACAGGAAAGGACAATACAGCTTGCAATGCAAATTTAAGCTCTAGGGAATTCCAAGGGCAAAGGAATTTCATAATGGAGCGTTCTCTGTTTAAGCATGTTCTGTCAAACAGCCCTGAGAACATTCCAGTTGGACGCAGTTGCCTTGTGGGAAAATAGATGATGACACAGTCTCTCTCTCATATCCGTCCTGGAGTTTTCAGTGCTCTCTTCGTTATTACAAGTACCTTAAAGGCATGCTGAAGGCCAGTTAAGAATATGAAGAGTTGGTTTTATGTGCGTGACCTCAAAGATTGGGAACTTGCTGTGCTGTAGATGGATCCATGTGCTCTTAAAGTGTAGCCTGAAGTGTATTGCAGTAGTCCAGTTCAGATTTCACAGTGAACATGCAGGCTGCCTTCTTTCTGTGATGTTCTTCTTGCTCATGCTGTACATTCTATTTTAGAAATTAAAAAGGCAGTATTACTTTAGCATTTCAAAAGTTGCATATGTCAATGGACGTTTTTCTGCTTCATGTTGTCTGCAAGAATTTAAAATGCTTTTTTCACATCCTTCTGTTTCTAAACTTAACCTTCAAACTTCCATGATGAAGAAGCATTTTTGTTAATCTGTCAGCATTAAATGTGTTGGAGAACTGATCTAATTTTTGCAAGCCTTTGGTGTGCAGTGGAGAGTTTTTCCTTTGCAAGGATCCCTCACTGGGTGCTGTCGGTTTGCCTTCGAGGTTGTGCTGTTCAGCTCTGTCTGGTTATGGTTTGGTTCATGACTGGAGGTGAGATACGGACAGAGAGCAGCAGTTTGCCACTGTCATCTTCAACGACAGGCAGTGCTGCTGGTCTGGGGGAACCAGATGGCAGACAGATGCACACTCTCAGTGGCTTTTGCTCCCCTGGAAATTCCTCGCATCTCCAACAGCCTCTTTTGCAGAGGTTTGTAGAGCTACAAGGCCAAGGAGGAAGGGCCTGCGAAGCAAGGGTCTGAGCAGAGTAAATTTTAAACAGTGGCAAATAGCTGTTGCAATAAATTGCAGAGGGCTTGCTTTGCCTGGACTCAAGGATTGAGAGTAGGTTGTTCCAGCACTGGACACCACCTAAGCAGCTCATCTGTGGCTGTTCCGTGCACAGCCCTTTGCTCCTGTAGTGCTGCTGCCACCAGGGCGGTTGCCAAGGGGCAAACAGGCCTTGATGAGTTAAGCAGCCAGTGAAAGAAAGTCCAGGTAGAATACACTGGTTTAATATACTTGGCCACCTCTCTCCAGTCCATGACAAGGTAAGTGTTTCTGGTTGCGAAACAGGAAAAGTATGTCCTTCGTTTCCTGTCTCCTGTGGCCCTTCTGCATGTGGGCGCACAGATGAGGTTGCCCACAGTAAACCAGTGGATTCTTATTGACACTCCCAGTAATAAAGTTGTTGGCAATAGTTTGAGGACAGGGTGTGGAGTTCCCGTTTGTGGGAGAGTTAACTAAAAACTCATTTCTTTCATGTTGATTTCACTGTTGTTTTCCCCTGTGCACTGAGCGGTGTAAATCGTCAAGCATGGCTAGCCTGTTCCTTCAGCAGTGTTTAATGTTCCCTCTTGTTTGTGGCTCTACCTGGATTGCGGGGATTAGGCTTTTGTTGTCAAAGAACAAAGTCTTTTATTAAAAGAGCTGCTTGTTCAGGCTTTGAGTGAGTTGGAGACATTAGTTTCAGGCCTTCTGACTTATCTGGAGTGTCTTAATAAAAACTATAACAGGATAAACTCTGTCGGTGCAACTTTTTTCAGTTCTGTAGCTTCATGAAGTGGCTAGGCTTCTCCCTTTCTCCACCCTGTTTTGGACAAGGCTTAAGACTGCAGATCTCAGTTGAAATATTCTGCTGACCAGTAACAGTAGCTAAAGAACAGCTAAAGCTCAGTCAAGAAGAGTAACAAACTTTTGTACTGGATAGTGAGTAGATGTACTTAGTGAACATGGAGAAATTTGGGTCCAGATCATCAGCTGGTAAGAATTAGCACAAATTCATTGGAATCACTGAAGATTGTTATACCAGCTGGTATATCATTATAAAACTTTAGTTTTCAAAACATGAGTGCATGCATCGTTGTGAGTAGGAGCAAAGCCTGGCAAATCCGTGCTTGAAATGTGTCTCCATTTCCTTCTCTATTGAATATTGATATTTACAGAGGAGCTAGTCTGCCTGTATAATGGAGTCATAACAAATACTTTTTTTTTTAAAATGCAGATCAGGCAATAAAGTGTGGAACTGGAGACTTTTTAAATTTACAGACATTAAACTGAACGCATTTTTGTGTGTTTTATCCTGGTCTATAATGATACAGTACTGTAATCTTCCTGTGGATTTGGCAAAGGAGTGCAAAATTTCTTTTTAGATAAATAAAATCATTTATTTATATGAAGTATATGGTTTTTGAGGAAAAATAAGATCACTTTGAAAACAATACCAAAGCAATTTCTAAATAGCCATGTGCAAATAGAGCACTCCCCCCCCGCCCCCCTCCTTTTTTTTTTTCCTTAAGCGGAGCCAGCCAGCATTCGCAAATGCACAGTGGGGGGGG